AGATCCACCTGGTTCTGGAACCACCGGAATTAACTATGTATCTTTTTAGTATGAACGAGCCAAACCAGGTCACTGACCTCCGCCTTATGTCACTCACCTTGTGTGTAGGAAAAGTATTGGAGAAAACGGCTCTAAATCGCCTCCAATGGCCCTTAAAAACCACAGACTCCCTGGCGTACACAATGACCGGCTTCAGGTGCTGTGTTGACACACAAGACGCCATGCTTCGTATTTTCGAAGATGTGCACCCCCACTCCAGCACCGCACAACAACGTAATATAGCCAGCGTTGGCATATATAAAACTCTCGACACAGTAGCACATTACACCTTACTAGTAAAAAAAATCCTTTTGGAGACGACACCCCACTCCAGAATATATAACTACGTTAAACTCTTTCTAACAGACCGAGCAGTACAAATACAAGTAAACGACTTGTATGTATACTGCACTGTAGTATACTTCATATCCCCCAGCCAAACCCTAACCGCCGGAGTAGCGCGGGGGGTTGTGTTCTTTACTACACTTTTTAATCTATAGCCTTAAAGAACCTCCCATCTAAACTTCACACAATCCCTTATCTTCGACACATCCACGCAGACGACATCACTATCTTGTGTTGCACCGGCTCTTCAGCAGACCAAGAAGGATAAGGGTAAGAATACAATTTATTTACAGAAGAAAACGACTAAAACACATCCAGCCTAAACACAATCCACACCCCTATCACCCAACTCTGCTTCACAAGCTCCCCACAGAGACAGAATACATCGTCGTCTCTAACGAGACAGGACGCGGGGCAAAAGACTACAGAGCTCTCGTTCAGCAACACATCGACGGCACACTCATTCATCACCACCGCACAACTCGAGTGCTAGGCTTCCTCCTCCAACAGGAAGGCAAGTCGGACGAGTGGACGCGGCACTCATCACCAAACACATCGACCAAACCAAATACACCCCTTGCCCCCTATAGAGATTCCAAGCGTCACCATGTCCACAAAAGATACGAGATGCGTAAAACGGTCGAAACCCTGGTGTACATCCGTGTCATGTACAATTTCCCTAGCGTCACTATCATCATCGCTCAAAACCGTAAACTTGACACCACGCTACGTAAGTGCACCGAGTGCACGCTGGGGATCCCACGGTTCGCTCCCAACGACCTACAGCACTCTGGACGAACGCATTACCATGCAGCGCCATGCGCAACATGACCGACTAGGCACACCAAAACAAGGCCCCCCAGCCCCCCCTCTCTCCCCCTCCCCCCTTTCCTCCAGCTCCTCCACAATGGGACTGACTACCACACCTCCAGGTTTTTCCCTGCCGCAAAACATATCATCGATCGTGTCAATCGCCTCACCAAGCAAGGGGAACCCCCAATACAGTCGTATATTACACTGATGCAAGGCATCACCCTGGCCGATGCCGCACGGTAATTACGAGCCACACCTGCTCTCATACCACTTTACATGAAAGGGTGCCCTCTTCCACTGCTGCCGGAACACTAGTCATCACCCTCCGCATATACCACCGCAGTTGGATCCTCATCCGCACGGATAATCAAGGAGCCTGTCGAATGTTCGAGACAACAAGCTGCCCCCTCCCGACATACACTCACTCGTCTAACAACATCTAACCACTCACCCCCTCAACACGTCATCATTCAATGGATTCCAGACCATCAGGACACGGGGGGAATTTCAAGAGCGCACGCGCTCTCCCGCGCTGAAGGATATCCGGGGCCTCCCACCCTCTGGCCTGAATCCAATGAACCACGTGAATACCGTAAGCAACTACACAAAGCCCGAACAGTTATTCCTGAAGAACTGAGCAAGACCGCCTCGACTCTCACTTTTACTCCTCCCAACTTCACACGTGAAGAGAATGCCATCTTACGACGTTCACACACACACACACTCTCTCATGACACTTCCCCAACACATACACACACTAGACACATCTCATGCAGGGGCTCTCCAGACGCCCCTTTTGCACGCACAGCGGAGACTTAATTAGTTCCCTTCCATTTACACAAAATGTGGGAATGTTCGCTCACGAGACCACTCATACCTGACGATTGACAATAAATCCCCCCCCCCCCCCCCCCCCCCCCCCAACTTCTACCCTACCTCCTGGGAGAAGTGGCTTGCCCACGCAAAGAACACCAAAACACCAACCCAACGTACTGCCACTCCTGATCCGGAACATTCACAACGTGCTTGGGGAAGAGTGTTAGATCTACTCCTCGAGCGCCAGACCAGGTGTTGTTTTACAATAAATATTTCCTCTCTCTATCTCTCTTCAACTTCCCGAAGGTGCAATCAGGCACCTTTATTTTGAAGCCGATCATCCAGGAGCTAGGGTCCGCGATTCTCACACCACGTACAACCATCGCTGAAAGTGGCGAATAGGTGGCGTTCACTGGTGGCCATAATTGAGACCATTCCTGAGCACTGCGAGCTTACGATCAGCTTCCAGAACGCTTCTGCAACGTGAATTGCACACCACCAATGTTGTAGTTCTTCTCAGAAGGTAAGTGGGGTCTCGTTCCGAGTCCGTGCTGTGAACACCGCGCCTAATCGTGCCGCCTAGTGAATAGCCCCTATAGGGTGTATTCACTGGCGGCCATAGCTGTGTGCTCGATTGCTGGGCACGTGCTGATGGCGAACTTCCACAGTTATTTTGGAACGTGCACTCCACACCGTCAAGGTGGCCGGTCTTAGCAGCCTATTAATGTGAGCTCATTCTGAGCATGCGCTCTAAACAGCACCTACAAATATGGCGTCCAGTGAATAGACCCTATACATCGCGACAAACTCACTTCTCGGCCGGCAATCTGTAATCATATTTGCAACAGACATTTTGATATCTACAAAGCAAAGCAGTAAAAGAGCCGTAGCATCTTACCTGACTGGTCGGAACTGCTCTTACGACTAGGCCATTCGTACGTTTTGCCGTATCGCGCTAGAATCTTTGCGTGACGACACGGCCAGGCCATGTAGCTGATCACGAGGGTTACCGTCTTCTCGAGCCGGTGGTATTGGTTGCGCCGTAAACCGCCAAAAAAAAAAAAAAAAAAAAAAATATTTATTTATCTACACGAGGCATAAAAAAAATACACCTCGTACAACAGGGACACTTCCTGCACTAAAAAGACAGTCGTAACCCTAAATTCAAGACAATGTACCGGAGTCAACCTTTAACTTTTTGTTTAGAGCTGTAAATATTTTAAATTCATTAATAGGTGACATTTTATTAATTTAATGCGGTAGAGTTGTTAATGCATTGGGAAATTAAGCATAGCACAATATACATTTGGGAAAAACAATAGTCCCTTTTTCAAATTCCATCAAGCAACATTGGCTTTGGCCATTTCTTTGGCACGATGAGTGTGATTGGATATGTCTCTTCGCCGAACTTTGACTCAGCACTTGTTTTTGATGCGAGCTGCGCTGAGTTCGCGCGCCGAACGCTGAAGCAGCCCAAACAATGGCGGGGTCCGATAATTGGTGCAGTAGCTGCTAGATGGCGCGCGCACTTTTGAAAAGGGTCTATTGCTTTGATTGACTTTGTGACGCAGGGATAACATGTTTTATTGGAGGCATTCCATTTTCTTATTGGTTTTGCTTCGGTGTGAAATTGAATGTCATAGACTGATGGCAGGGGTAGAGACGACCAGATTCAAATTTATACATACCATACCTCTTGACTGATGCCAAGCTTCCGCCTTCTAAGTACGAAACTAAAAAGGTTTGAGATATGTGTTAGCAACATTGTGTTTTGGTCAGTACTTTTAACACTAACTGGTTGTACGTGCTCCTTATTTTGATGCATGTTTTGACGTAGAAAGATAAAGAAAGAAGTGTGCGTTTGTGTATTTTGAATGCTTGGGAGCACTCATGTTACAGATGTTTTCGACGTCCTTTCGACGTCCTTTCGATGTTTTCTTCACGTTTATATGCTGCCTCGGTAGAAGTCTCTCCAGTAATTAAAATGTTGATGTTTATTGAGTTTGACAGCGAGAAAGATAATATGAGCGTGACAGCCCCAGAAAAAGCACTTTGAACCGGTGAATCGGCAAGAAATTATTCGGCGATCAACGTAGAAATAAGCAATATGTTAATTTCACAGGCCATTATTAAAAAGATTTCGTCTCTTTTGCGACACTGGCAACCATTCTGAGGCTAAGATGGCCGCTTGGTAAAGAGACATGATGATAATGATGGTAATGCCGGTGCATATAGTTGCCAACCCGTCAGAATGACCTAATAAAGTCACTATGTCGGAATTTATGTCACCAGTCAATGTCACTATGCTATTGAGCTGTGGACGTGAACCCCGAAATGTTTGCCTCCATGTTTTTGTAAGTGTCAACGGAAAATAGACCTTGTGGTCCCTCTCCACATAGACGAGGGGATCCGTTCGGAAAATTCATTATCTATAGGAAGAAAATTATTTGACTCGTTCTTTTTCTCAGCCCGTTTTTTGACAAGCCAACTTGCCGTCAGTGGTCACGCAGCAGCAATGTTCCCCAAGCTCAATCAACGAAGCATCGCTGTTACGTGCCATGACACTGTATTTTAGATCAGTGGTTCTCAAATGGGGGTCCGCGGACCTTTTGAGGTCCGCGAAGGCATTCTAGGGGTCCGCGAAGCCCTGCCTCATCATTCAAGCCGGCAATAAAAGCTCTCTTTTTTTAGATCGAGAAGGAATTTGTTCATTTTCGGGCTAGTTTTCTCGTGTCTATGTCAATAAGAGAAGCCTACACCACACCAGCCGTTAGTTAAATTTATTTATTATATCATTAATATATTTAATCTAAACCTTCCCCCTCCCCTCACCACGAACGGGGTCCTCCATAATCTCTGCCGATCCACAAGGGGTTGGCGAAACATCGATGGTTGAGAACCACTGTTTTAGATTATCCACGAGAGCAATCGACATAATAGATCACCCATTCGGCCATCTTTCCTACGGTCAGCCTCGAAACAAGAGATCAGGAGCACCCGTGCTTCGAGTATGTCAGAGGATTCTTGGACAACCAATCCACGCTTTTGATCTCTTTCGCGCCAAGTCTGGTGGTGCCCGAGAGCACCAGACGCGCCATCTGGCCAAAGTTCCTGTCGTAGTTTGGTGTGGTATCTAGAGTCAACGGTCCGTACCGTTCATTGTCCGACGGCACTAACCGGGCCCTATGCCGCCAAAACAGATGGAAAGCAGAGAACTTTCTCCACTCGTCATTGCATTGGCCATAGAGCATATTCCCGACGTCTTCAGTCACGCCAAAGTCGTACGGAACCCTCTTCACAAGGTCCGGCCTCACGGTCAGAAACTTTTTCGTTGGCAGTTGTCCGCCGTTCCAGTACCACAGTTCAGGACGGTAAAGGTGGTAAGACTCGTACCAGAGTCTCAAGTACCGAGCGTCCTTGTGCGCCACGATAATCTGGTTGCCAACGTACTCCCCAGGATACCACCCCATGGAAAGTTCGAACTGACGGTAGGCATCCAGGCTCTTTACCAGGTACGAATCGCTGTCTAGATAGATGCCTCCGTATTTCATAAGCACGAGAGCCCGTAGCACGTCCGACGCATGCTGTACATAACTGAACTCCACACCGAAGATCTTCCTTGGTCTTTGGATACGGTGGAGTGAAAGACCGGGGATGTCTTTGATCAGGTACCACAGAGGGCTGTTGATGGTGGCGCTGCACACGTCGCAGTGTATCATGAAGGCCTCTGGTCGTTGCTGAAGCCAGGCGGCTCTCATGCAGACGGCTTCCACGAACAGCACTGGCGTGTCGCCGAGTCTGATGATGTGAACGATGTTGGGGACAACAAAGGTCACGTTGTCAGGGTAGATGAAGTCTTCGACTTGTCCGTCCCACACTGCGTCTAACTCTAGCTGATGGTAATATGCACTTATTTGAATTAAATAGATGGTTGCTATAATGAAAGCCAGTAAGATTGCCGCGAAAACCGCTCGCTGGTACTTCCAACACGTGTGAAGCGGTCGCCGGCAATGTAAATCCCATATTTTTGGCATCGCAATATTTTTGATTAGATTTGACTCGCGAGCTGTAAAATGTTTTGCTTTGGGTTAAAAACTTTTATATAAGAATATTTAGGACTTTCAATGTCGAACATCGGAGTTGTTTCTTCTCTTGGTGCCTGGAAGAAAATAGAAGATAATTATAGGACACTATATTATTGGGGACCCAAGGCGCGTGATATACTCTTGATCTATGCTACCAAGGGTGATTCATTTAAGTAATTAACAAATTTTTAATTTAATTACATTTACATTTACATTAGAGTAATTAATACCCGAGGGTAATTCTTTTAAAACTAATTAACAACTTTTCCAAATTTTATAGCGAGGAAATCGGAACAGATTGTGAGGCTATTACTCGACTTATATTGGTCTTACGAATGACGAAACGTAGAGATGGCCCTTAAACTTCTTGAGTAAATAAGTGCCGATTTAATATTACTATCACTACTCCTAAACTATTGGGGAGGAGATCAAAGAGTCACCACTCTAGCGGCATATGCTTCAGTGGCCGCTAGAGGCGTGACTGTTCAACAAACCGAATTTTCTTGTTTGTTGTTGATCAGAGAAATCGAAAATGTCGATTTGAAGGCCGTTTTTCGTGCGTCCAAAGCACTGGTCAAAGCAAAGCGCTCCTGTCCAGACCGTGCTAAGCGAGATTCGATTTCTTTGTTCTGCTGTGTTAGTAAGCACCGGGCTGCGTGAACAACAAGCTTTATAAAGCGCCTCCTATAGTTGATCTCCTACCCAAAAGCTACTTATTTTGAGGCACCTGTCATTCTGTCAAACGAAACACACAAGAACATCTTAAAGTCCAAAGGCTCCGCAAAACAAGAGACCTTGACCAACACATAGAAACTAAAGCCTGCGCGCTTCGTTTTGTTACATCAGGTAAGCCACTGCTCCTATGCCAAGCGAAGAGAATCAGCAGAGGGCTTTCACCACCGATCATCTGCGGCGATGCTGACGAAGCATTTTGTTTTCTTATTTTATGCGCCGTTGCCCCCGATGCGTTCGGTTTAAGTGTCGAAGGTGGAAAACTCAACTCACTGACGCCACGCCAGTGCGGTGGCGCTGCTGTCGATACTGCGCATGCGCAGAAGCTTCACTGCTCCCGAATTCGGTTCCTGCGCACGCGCGGCGCCAACACGTGGTGTGGGCAAAGCGGGCTTGTCTGGGAACACTGTGTTGGTGTATAGGTTGCACCAACTAAATCTCATAAAAAAAAGAATATTACGCGACGTGACGTCGTACCTTTATCAGATTGCAAGCGGCTCGCAAGCGATGCACAGCCAGACATTAGGTACCCAATCGGGCAACGTAGACGCCTCCGTATTAGCTGCATCCTTCGGCGGCCAGAATCTCTAGTGTTTTTGTGTGAGTAAATGTGAGAATAGAGGCCTTATAAGTGTTGTGTGCCGGGGTGCCGGGGAAATTATGGTGGAGAACCGAAGATTCACGTAATCTCCTTCCCAACCGACGAGGAACGGCGTATTCAATGGATCACGGCAATTCCGGAAGAAGTTTAAGATGCGATCTAATCAAAGGTATGTCGGTTTGGCAGCTTTATGTTTGATATTTTTATACTCTTACACTTCCGAATTGTCATTACGCCCAGAAGGATGGTAGTATAAAATGCAGATTTGGAACTTAACCCTTTCAAATTGCTTTGAGATATTTTGTTGAATTTAGCACGCGAGTCACCTGCGCAAAGAATTTTGCTTTGTGTTCTAGCATTTGCATTCGATATCACCGACTCTGATTTATCAACTATTTATCCAGTGTTACTATTCCGACCTACGAAGCTGGGTACTCGCCTCTGTGGCTATGAAGATATTCAAGTATGAGTGTCTTGAGATAACCTTTGGTTTCGGAGTATACACCACTTCACTGTGCAGTGGTTCATCATCTAACAGGTGCTCTAAATCAAGGGAGGCTGCACCTTCCAACTCAAAGGTCGTCAGTGTTGTGGTGAACGTTGTATTTGTTGTGAATAAGCTTATGTCGCGCCCTACAACATCGCCAAGTTCTTGCGGTTACATGATTAATAAAAAGTTGTCGGGGGTCTCACATTAAGTACGCTGCCAGAGTTCGAAGAGATCAACACTTGTGCAAGCGACCACACACGCCTCACAACACCCGCCTCACCTTCCCAACAAACGCTCTTCTCAACAAATTGTGTAAGGGGGAAATAATGCCTTAGTGCGGGATGCAACGTCTGCCTCAGCCAAAAAGAAACTGTCTGTGTTTGCAAAAAAAAAAAAAAAAATAGCGTTGTTAAAACAAAAACTGCTAAGGAACCACGACATTTCTGTAGGCTGACATACTAAAACCTGAGAAGGAGGAAAACAAATTTTTTTCATGAGATGAACTATACATTTGGGGACGCTGATTTCTTAGATGATGGACTCCTGACACTTAGTCGATCAGAAAGATTTCGTGTCGGATTCGCTTGTTTCACTCTCTTAAAACTATTTTTAATAAAACAAGTGACCTCCTGCTAAGTAGCGCATCGTCACTAATTTTCGCACAATTTCCTAAATACGAAAGTGGCCGTTGAACTTGTGGTGTAAAAACACAATCTTTTTTTTTAACGCATATCTGGATGGTTCATGACTCAAATACACCATATATGACCTCAGCATTACGTACACTATACTACGAAGCTTCGAGACTTAAGTTTTTTGAACTACGCGACCTCTACCTGTAGTTCAAACGAATACTCGGGGTTTAAATATATGTCAACAACGTGAATGAATAGTAAAATCTAATCGTCATCTTCTTGCTAATCTTATCCGACGGATCTGTTTCCTCGGATGGCGCGCAGTGATAGCTCCTTGGAAGTGCCCACGGAGGAGTCCGGTAAAGCGGTTGCAACCATCGTTTCAGTCACACGAGCGTGCACGAACCTCCTCTGAAAGCCCTCTTGCAGTCGACCGAAGACATGATAGTTTACTCGGCGACGGCCGACATTGCCCGAACCATTACCGAAATATTCTGAGACTCTCGGGGAGCGGTGTTTTTGCGACGATCGGGCAAACGTGTCTTCGATATTTTATGTATCCTGGCGTGACCACCATGACTAAAGTCGCCGGCAGAGTGAGAACGGCCAAGGCGCGTCTTTTCAACGCCCCGCCTCCAGCACGCAATCCTTGCCTTCCGCCGTGCTTTAGCTGCAGCGCACACGATCGAGATGTACAAGGCGCCGAAGCTTTCACGAAGGTAGGAAATTCGCGCTGAAACTGGGACACCTGAAGCTGCTCCCAGCCGTTCTAACTCTGTCTGTGACCGTAGACGCGGCACTGCGGGCCTCTGTGGTACGAGCTTCCGCCTCTCTGCCGTGCTGGGGATTTCCCGAACCATGAAGATAAAGGATAGGGTTAAAGGGGCACTCAAGTGGATTCTGAGATTGTATATTTATGGTGGGGACTGAATCTACGAAATCTGAGCACCCTGCAAAAAACAAAAAGCAAAAAAAAAAAAAACTATTTGAATTTACATTTATGGGCGGCTACTTTCCCTATTAAACATATAATCAAAGAGTGTGAGACTCACTTTTTTTCCCTCCGCAGGGGGCACCGTCGGACGGTGTTTTCAAACAATTATTGTCGTATTACCTCTACGTCTCCAACACCCAAAGATAGGGACTTTTTTTTTTCTCGTCCAAATGTAATGCACAGTGGAACTAAGAAGAGAAATAATAGTAACGTTCGAAATGACCGCGCATTAACTATTTTCATTGGTCAAACTTTATAGAGGTGTTAAGGACCCGAGCATGCCCCCCCCCCCCCCCCCCTTCCTCCCCCCAAGAGGAAATAGTGCCTGCCTATTTCTATTGCTGTGAGTTTCCTGGACGTCTTGCCATCGAGAACTGTCCGTTTTCATTGACTAAAGCCAAACAAACCACGTGTCGTCATAAACATGCTTCTACAGAAAACACTTCACTGAAAACGTTGCAGCTTATCACGCTGTCAGTGAGCGTTACTTTTTTTTTTGTCCAAGTTTTAATCTGTTTTTGAGTCTCGGCGATCAGAAGCATTTTGATGGCTAAGATGAAAAAAATAATATTAGAAAGAAAACGCAGTGAACTTACGTGTGAAGACGACGTGCTTGCCACTTCCCGCCCATTCGACTCAGTATAATTTTTTTGTTGTTGATTATCCGGAAACTCGTTTATACGAACGGATGTCATCCAACCCACGGAAGTGCGTCGCACAAGCGAGACGCAGGGAACTTTCGGCCCGGATGAGGGTGTTTTTGAAGAGGGCGCCTGGTACCGCCCACCATTTGGACAGGTTCCGATAGCGAAGGCAAACTATGACGCGAGACTTGGGATCGCAGATACGGGTGGGGCTAAAGGAACCTCTACGCCTGGCTTGTACCTTGCCGCCAGAGTCATATTGGTCATATCGCGCCGCTCGTTTTCCCTCGACGACTCAAATGGGCAAGGTCCGGGCAGCAGGGAACGTGCTGCGCACGGCTGACAGCGAATGGGCGAACAGTGTAGAAGTTGACTGAACAGATGGAGCAGCCACATGTTTTCTGCTTTTTATCTTTTTTTTTTATGAAGGCAGCCCTGTGCCAACGGTTCTGTGTCGACGGCACCGCCGCTCATTGTACGCGAGCTGCGGAAATGCTGCGCAGTTCACTCTATATACTGGGCTAAGGGCAAGATCTTTCGGTTCGTTCAGTTTACATCGTGCTAGTGTTCTCTTTCTAAGCGAATAGCATTTAATGGGCCAGCTCTTGGTTTTTTTCTTTTTGTGTCTGCGGCATGTTGCCTCCATGGTGACGTCAGGCTGATGACGTCACGGTGTTTACAACAGTTGCTGTCTGAGCGTGGTGCTCGAACGGTGAAATACTCTGGGGAAGCGGACTCTCGGGTAATTTTTTTTTTTTACGCGACACTGGGACATCACGTGAACACAGGGATGTCAAGTGACACCGGCTAGGTGACACCGTGGCATCCTGGCATTATGAACAACGTTATCTAGATTACCTATGTTGTTGAATTCCCGCGGAAGGGGTTACCCCTTCTCAGTCACCTCAGTCCGCCTCCCGTCGTTTGAAGCGCCATCTAGATTTTCGTTTCGTAAGTGTGTGTTCCCTAATGACGGTGGAGCGCCATCTAGATTTTCGTTTCGTAACTGTGTGTTCCCTAATAATGGTGGAGCGCCATCTAGACGCTGTGCTGCGAAACGTGTTTATTCCGGAGAATACACCGTAGTTACCATAGCAGCCGTCCGGCGCGTCGAACGGCGGGAGGCGAGTCGTGGTGAGTGAGGGGGGGGGGGGGGGGGTACTGCTCGTGCACGCCGCGTCTATACGCAGTTCCGAAACCAAGCATTACGGGACACAGTGACGTTATGGGACATCTATATTTATTTTGTGGGAGTATGCGTACTTGTACACGTTACTAAAAAAAAGTGAGGAATTGCATTTAGAATTACACAAGAATAAATTGTAACTAATTGCCTAGTTACTATTACCTTTCCATAAAAGCAAGTGACCGTTGCCAGAAAAAGTATAATCCGTTACTTTCGCTGCTTTACTTTGTACCTTAATGTTCTAGGGTAAGACACAAAACGCAAGTGTGTTGTGGAGGCATTTATTGTTGCCACGAGTCACACTTTTGTGACCTTGAGCTCTTTGCTACAGCCGGCGTTTGATGCTGTAAGAATCCCGAAGCTATAAAATTTTAAGACAGATAATTAAACCTCGAATAAAATGAATGTATATGAATATATTATATAAACATATTTTAGTCGGCAAATATCACCAAACGGTGGTGTGGGAAAATAGCAAGACATGGTAATTAAACGTGACAATTAAATTATAGATTATGTTTTTATATGAATCTTCCACTAGCTCTGAACGGACGTCGTGCCTTGGTCCAGACGTCAGTAAATACGACGATAGAGTTTTTTGTGGATCCTTCCAAAACAAAAATTTAATGTCGATTAAAACGGAAATGTAGACGCAGCTATGTCGTGCCTACCGTTTCTTGATGCTGGTCAGAAGGCATACAGCAGGTAGCATGTAGCACGCATGCAGATTAGGGGCAAAGCAGCACAAAATCAAATAAATATTCCTGCCTCACATAGATTAGAATTGTTGTAATATCTTTTGAGGAGAATGCCAGTTAATGTCACATCCTTTTCAGTCAATCTCTGTGTTGAACCTTAAACAGCGGAAAACGAGGCGTCCCCCCTGTTGTGACATTATGCCAACTGTCGCTGTCACTGTAACCGCGGAGGGCCTTGTTAATTGTCTCGAGCTTTTGGAAGGCGCGCAGTCGACGATCGTTTTGTGTCCTCTCTATGACTTCAAAAAAAAAAAAAAAAAAATGAAGAGCGAAGGGACAAAAAGAACAGGCGGCACAGATCCGCTACACCAATTCGCGTGCACTTTGACCATTTTTTTTCGTTTTAAGGAAACATTTTTGCTTTGAGAGTTTGCCTAATATTGTTTGCACTGCGAGCCCGGTTTCTTGTATCAGTGTGCTTCCCCCTTCGCCGTAGGCGAGCAAGATGACGAGTTATAATTTTGTGGACAACGAAACCAGAAAAAAAAAAAAAAAAAGATTCGAATCTAGGCTTTATGTGATATTAGGTGACATGAAGAAAGGAATTCAACATCTGAGGAACGCCAGGCCTTGCGTTATGTGTGTGCAGGTGGCAGTGTAACACCAATAAACCTTACCCGTAACAAAAAAAAAAAAAAAAAATAGAAACGATATTTTTTTTGTGGTTGGAGTTTTATATACTCGTTTTTCCCCCCGTGTATGAAAACGAAAAGTAACGGATTACAATCAATCCCTTAGTAAATGAGTAAGGAAATTACTTAAGAATTAATTTGTAAGATATGTATTTGTTGCTTTACAAAATTACTGATAAATGTAAGGGATTACCAGTAGTCTCGTTACTTGTAAAGGATTACGTCAGAGAATATGCTACCCACTGTTCACCAGAGGGAGCGAAGGTTGCGTCAGGGACCTCCGTCTTTCTCGTTAGGCGCCCTCTTTGCATCGACTATGTTGCCACACCGTGACAACATTGCCAGTTAATTACAGCGAGGGATGCGGAGGAAGAAGGAAGCACGACAACAATGATTGATTTTATCAGCGTTGTGCAATGCAAGAGAGAAAAAAAAGTTCAAAATATTGCTTGAGTGTTGCATACTTACAAAGGGTCGCCAGCACTATAGTTTCATGACGCAAGTTGCGCCGCGTGGCGTCAAACTAGCAACCGTCTCGATAGTAAAAACAAATGTCGAGAGGTGAGCCTAACTGTCACGTAACAGACGACGGCGTGGCTCCCAAAGATGTCTGATAACAAGTTTCAAGGGGTTTAACCCATTATTTAAAATTTTAGAGGGAAGCAAGTACAGTCTCGTTAAAATAAAACAATTTATGACTCCGTAAAAGCAGGAAACTCATATATGAACCTGAAATGCGAAGGTTTATTTTCTGTCTCGAGGCCACTGGAAGTATACTTTAAGCTTTTCACTTTAAGTGAAATGGTCCGTACGCCTCACTAACACCCATCGTGGGTCGGTTGCGCACATAAATGCATTCATAACTTGTGCTTTCTTTATTTTTATTTGGTGCGTGTGTCACCTGCAATTTCCCTTGAAACGGATCTTAATTTAAGTGATTCAATGAATCGAAACACACAATTTTATTGTTTTAAGCAAAAAAAAAAAAAAAAAAGAAAAAAAAAAGAGAGAAGAAACAACTGTGTGATTTCATCTCAACTCAGGCACGGATTTAGCGTCGAATTTTTAATTTTGACGAAAAAAATACATGTTTTGGGGCAATTCCTATAATAAAAGGAGACGCAAACTGCAATTTCGTCGGATTTTTGTTCTCAAGTTATAGACCGTTGAAGCGGCCAAGGTGGAAACTGACGTTTTTCCGCTTATCGGAGGCGCCATATTTCACTCCACCCCTTTTCTCTACTTTTTACGCTACATCAATATAACTTTTTGGGAACACTCTAGACATAGGCTCTTTCCTGCCAATTAAGCGTCTAAGTCATAACATTCTTAATGATTTTTTTTTTTATTTGTCAAACCGCCTCTCTGCGACGATATTTGACGAAGTTCAGCAAGCTGTGCTGTGTGACCTAATCAACATATTTTTATGATCTTTATATTACCATAAAGCTCCAATTAAGCTATTTGTTTCGAGTATAAATTCAGTATTTTGCAATAAGTGTATATTGCGCTACATGTTCTTGAAAAACGAAAATTTTGAAAATCTGGCAAGTTTGGAGTCGATTTTCTGAAAAACCTAGCTTTTTATTTCTTTTATTTTTTATTTAGAGTTAGTTAATATAGTAGTCTATCAGAAACGACCAACAGGAATTGTAATATATTGTTTGTATGGTCGCTATTAAGACTTGAATCTCGTGCTATGAGCGTTTTGAACGGGACTTCGCACAGGCGCTCTGCTGAGCAGAATTTTGGCCTATGTAAGGTTTTCTATTTATCGTTAGCAGTTACCTCAATATCCAACCATAAACATTAATAAATTTTGGAGTAGTGTACTTAAAAAAATTTACTTCGAAGTCCGTATCCACAAGTGCGGGCAAAGCGCTTACTTCCTCCCAATACTGGGGAATGCAGATCGTCAGAGAATTCCTTGGGGCCTTTTGCTTTCTGCTTTGAGTTTGAAATACCGAACTTGACATGTAATTGTCATATTTTCTTATGTCAAACAGATATGCAGTGCATATACATATGTACGATTTAGTATCTGACGCTTAGGAAGTAAGGTTTATTTTGTGCGCGTAAGGACTCTTTCTTAAAATAACAAGCATTTCGTAGCGTGTAAGGCTGAAAACGTTTAGTCATTTGTTTAGGTTTCATTTCTATTTTCAGTGATTCATGCCGGGTTACTTAAACTTCTTCCTCTTGACTTAAGTTTGTCCGGGAGTCTATATGTTACGTATCTTCTCCGTCAATACATAGGGCGAAGCTCACACACCTTGCAGATCACGCCAGTGCCAAGTAAATAAATATTCTTAGGATAAATATTGTTGCTACACTTGCTTTTACGCTCAGATATTGAGGTAAGTACTAACATTAAATAGAAAACCTTACATAGGTCAAAATTCTGCTCAGCTGAGCGTCTATGCGAAGTCCCGTTCAAAACTCTTACAGCACGAGATTCGAGTCCTAATAGCCGCCATACAAACAATATATTACAATTTCTGTTGGTAGGTCCTGGCAGACCACTCACTATATTACCTAACTAAATAAAAAATAAAAAAAGGTTTTTTTTTTTAGAAAATCGACTTTAAACTTGCAGGTTTTTCTAAAGAAAGACTTGCAAGTTAGAAGTCGATTTTCTAAAAAAACTTTTACCTTTCATTTATTTCATTTTTTATTTACAGTTTATTTACAAACATTTCTCATACAAATGATATTTTTCAATAGGGCGTTCAGTACTGTGGGTGCTTAATGCGCGCCATGCCCTTTGTGAGGCTAAAGTGAGTGATCTAATCACAACCCAGTATAAAGTTGCACTCTAATCATGCCTCGTTAAAAGTTAGACGTAGAATGCTGATTAGCGAATCTTACAGTACGCATATTACTCCTGAAAGACACATTTGCACTTTAATACGTACGGGAATAAAACAACAACGGGTTAGTTGTTGAATTCCTAACGAGCCGTACGTTTTGCTTCGAACTTCATAGTCGGCGTGCTCTATGTAGTCACGGAGTAGTAACACGGTCATAGTGAATTCCACGTGTATGCGCGTAGTCGCAAAATGTCTATCGTTTTGCTGATCACCATTTAGTGTTTGGGTGAGGAGGCCGGTAGCTTGCACCCATATTCCGAATACTCCGGCGGATGTCTCGAGAGCCAATCAATGCTCTTGATCTCACTGGCACCCAACTTCGTGGTACCGTAAAGCACCAGCCGCGCCAGCTGGCCAAAGTTCCTATCGTACTTGGACACGGTGTCAATCGTGATCGGCCCGAACCGTTTAGGTTCTGGCGGTACGTACGTTCCAATGTGCCTAAAGAACAGGTGGAACGCCGAGTAGTTTTTCCAGCTGTCGTCGCACTTGGCGTAAAGTATTTGGGCGTCGCTCTCGGCAACCCCGAAGTCGTGAGGAACGCTATGCACAAGTTCGGGATGTACGCTCAAGAACCTCTCAGTCGGGAGAACTCCAGCGTTCCAGTACCACAGGTCCGGTCGGTATTCGCGGTAGGACTCGTAGCAGAGCTTCAGGTAGCGGGTATCCTTGTGAGCCACGAGGACCTGATTACCCACGTTCGCTCCCGGAGGCCAGCCTATAGACATTTTGTAGCGGCGGTAAGGATCTAAACTCTTGACGATATAGGAGTCGCTGTCCAGGTAGATTCCTCCGTACTTCATGAGGACCTGAAGACGAACGACGTCCGAGGCGTGCTGAATGTAACTGAACTTGATCCCGAAGACCTCTGTCGGCCTCACCGTAGTCTGGAGCTTGAGGACAGGTATGTCCTTGATGAGGTACCACAGGGGACTTTGAACGGTCCTGTTGCACTGGTCGCAGTGAATCATCAGTGTTTCTGGCCGCTGATGCAACCAGGCCGCCCTGATGCAAACCGCTTCCACGAAGGACAGGGGGTTATCGCCGAATTTTATGAAGTGAACAATGTTTGGGACGATGTAAGTGATGCCGTCTTCCAGGGACTTGAAGTTCTCGCTTTCTTCGTACCATAATGTTGATTTGTTGATGGTGTCGAGGTTGCTGAGATTGCTCTTGACGGAAACGCGGGGCGCAATGTCGACCATGACTATGAAGAGATAAACGGTCACTATGATTGCGAAAGAAACAAAAAAAAGCGCTGGGAAGCCAAGGGGGTGCAGATGGCGGGCGCCGAAGCGTAGCACGGGCTGTGCTTTCATTTCAAAGTTAGAGACGTCTCGCGTTCGTTTTTCAGTGTTGATGTTTGACGTGAGCTGACGATCTACTCGCCATCAACGTAAGGCGTTAGGTAGCCTCATTCTGTATCTTTGTTTGCTTGAATTCTTGGGCCTCTGGAAGTAGAAAGAAATAAAAAAACAAGTAAATAACTCAAATTAAAATTTTGGCCTTTTTGATGCATCTTGTAGAACAAGTATTTTTGTGGCTATTTAAACCCAAACCGTGGGCAGGCTAAGAAAATATCTTAAAAGCCTTGCGCATCTTTTATGGAGAAGCATTGAATCGAATTTCTTCTATATGTAGAAGCACTCCACCCATATAACGTAAGCAAGAGTGTGTGGCTTGCATTGATGAGTAAAACATCGTTTTATTTCAAAATGACTTAAAGATGTATATCGTAACCCTATTGAAAATATTTCTAAAGGGCCCGTCAGCCTTGAAGGATTATGGGACCTCACAGGCCTTCAAAGCCCTTCAAAAGTACCCCACAGAAAAACCCTTCAAGGATACCCCATAGAAAAACCCTTTAGCCCCACAGCCCTTTAACCCGTCAGGCCCTTTAGCCCATCAACCCTTTAGACGCCCAAATGACTGTGAACCATAGACAAAAATGCAGGTCAAAACACTTAAAATTTATTGCCGACATTTAGTTTTACATGCATATTATAACTCAAAAAGCAACGCTCGTTCAAACCCGGCGCAAGGAGCTGTAGACGAAAGGGATCACATCAAACAGGGACAACTAACATCCTTATCACAAAGAAAAATACCTTTCAAAGTACTCACAATGCCGCTGGGTATATTCCTGATGTACGGTAGTTCAGCTAATAAAACCGAGCAGGTGCACCTCACGGACACATACACAGTCTCAGTAAGCACGTTTAGCGAAAACCACAAACTCGTAAGCAGCACCCGCCGCCGTTGAGAAATCCCGAGCACAGTCACGGTTTCGTCCATGATGACATCGCGCCGGAGTCTTCGGCGTATTTTTCGCTCGCTGGTCTGAAGTCGGACGGACGAAGAGGCGCAAGGAACAAGTCCGGACAGCGGCCGTCATCCACTGTCTCAACACCCACAGTGCCATAATCCCGGTGCGCAGGCACAACATGCGGTGGGACGCTGACCCCGACTGCCAGGCTTTGCAGCGAGTAAGCCGACACCGGCCACCATCTCCTTGAATGCGCTGAACACAAAGGCGCTCGAGCGGTGCTGAAGGCGGCCTGCGCCGAACTATGGTTCACCTGCGGTACCAAGAAAGAAACTGCACGGATCAAAACAGACTAAGGGGCGAGCCCTCAAAACCATGCATGCTCACCTTCCTGGAGGAAATTGGTCCGCTCCAAACATCCAGGCTCGTGGGATAACCGGAACCGCACACGGGCAGAGAGAAAATGGCTATGGCCTCCCCCGCTTGCACACACCACCCTCCTCCCCCCGAACGCTGGCCTGGCAGCCCTGCACCCTCTCCCCATCGCCGGGCGGAGAGAGGCGATTGCTTTTTGGGGACAGTCCCCCGTGGAAGACCGGTTCCCGGAACGAGTCGCTCCCGCGTACGTCCCTGTTCCTGGAAAGCGCGCACTGCTCTCGGCTTGTTCTTTTTTTTTTTCTTTTCTTTTTTTCTTCTTTTTTTTTGTTTTTTATACATGGTTGCACGTATTTCGCCTCGAGCGGACAGGATTGCGTTCGCCTCAAAACGCCGCTCGGCCAACACCACTCGGCCCGCGGCTCGTCAATTCTCCACATGGGCGGTCGCCCTCAGTAGCTCTTTCGCGACCGAACACCCGGGCAGTGACAGACGGGTCCAGGAGCCCATTCGTATTTGATAGAAGAGCAGTAATAAAAATCTGACCGTACTCACACACGATCGGAATTCTGCAAATACTTTTTTCCCCGTAGCGTACAATAAGCAGCTATGTTCTAATTCTGCGAAATGTGTTTTTTCCACCTGGGCCGTTGCCCACACAGACATATCAAGAGGCCTGAAGGTTTTCCCGACCCCATTAGAAAAGTTCTTGACAGGCTTTCAGACATTTCAAGGCATCGTAAAGGGGACTTTAGACATTTCAGGAGAGCCTCTGACGGGGCCAGTGAACCCACCAGGAAATATCGGTGCCCCCGTCAAACATCTCAGAAATTCCTGAAGTCCCTTTCACACCCTTTAAAAAAATCCTGAAGTTCCATCAGAGCGATTTTCAATAGGGAAACAACACACCCTTCAGCATCTTGTTTTTCACAGCAAATCGAGGTTCTGCCTTTGCAGAACCCTTTCATTGTAGTAGTTTCGTTTTTTAAGGTCGTGGTTACGTATCTAATGAGACAAATGGTACGCGGAGTTTCTAGAACTTATAAAAAACTAGACTAAAACAATTTAAGAAAGAACAAAATTGTGAAACATGTGGATTAACTTTCTTGCAGAACAGAGAGGTAACCAACCATCACTGCGAGCAGCCAAAAAATGACACATCTCAAAAAATGATAAGACCTGAAAAATGCGATTTGCAAAGGAACCATAGGAAAGTGTAAGGTCAGGCTAATTATCCTGTGGAAATAGAAGTTTTCAGGGGGAGGTACTTCGCGAAAGTAAGTTCTTCAGTTAAACACAAACGACGTGTGCATGTTCACACGTATTCCTCAAACACCTGCATGTATTACGTGTGGACAAGACACAACTCATATATACGTATATAAGCTACTTAAAAAAAGGCTTATCATATATTGAAGCATACACTTGGTTGACCAACGCTCTTGTTTACAACTAATTCACCAACACGCTCGTTTTCAGTTAAGGCTTATATAGAAAGCTGCACCATCTTGCTGTTATTTACCTAAATCATATGAAAATATCTGTCAGATTTTCGGCAGCGTAAATATTTTAACTAGGTTATCAGGTTATCAGCAACATAAAATGTAAAAGGCAATAGGATTTATACCACGACTATACCACGACTATGCACTAATCAACTTCACAAACAGTTACTCAAAAAGACTTGCTCAAAAAGATATTTTATAACGTTAAATTAAAACAGTTCAGTGGAAAGTAAATTGTTTTTCCTTATAATCCGCACAAGTGAAGCTTAGCAAAAAGGGGTTTTAAACCGTAAACGCTGCAAAGATCATCTTTGCAGTTGGTTCACAATAAAAAAAGCTTTTCGTCGGATCTTAAATACGACGTAATGTGTCAATCAATCAATCTTTTTCATTGCATCGATACAAGTGCAGCTGCCGGGAGGCATACAAAATGTCAACAGTTGTTGGATTGACAAGGTTTGGTCCCCCGTTTTCTTTGCAAACGAACTATAACAAAACAACAATAGAGAACAACTAGCAGACATGTGTGTCATATAAATCAAGAAACAGTTATATATCGTAGTGCTAAAATAGTTATATAAATATGGAGTTGAAGGTTTATACTATAAAAGAGGGGTTTAGTATGAACATCCCGTGGAACACTTGCAATGATACGGATAGCCTTTTTCCGGAGTATAAGTAGTTTGGTTGTGTTCGTGTTAGTGTGGTTCCCCAGAGCAGTTGGCAGTAATTTAAGATATGTAAAAATGAATGGTAATATAAAAGTAGTTTAATTATTTTTGATAGGTCCAAGGGCAACCTGCTTAGTACCCCTGTTATTTTTTATACTTTAGAAATTATTGTTTCAACTTGTATATTCCATGACATCTGTTCGCTAAATGCAACTCCTCAACTTTTATAATTTGAAGTGAGTTCAATACTAGTGGTACCAAACCGAAGCTCTGAGTATAATTTCATATTTTTGCCTCTAGGTCTGAAGAACATTTCTTTTGTTTTAGTAGCGTTCATGTGCAGATAATTTGCATTACTCAATGATATGACGCGTCCAGTAAGTTATGTGCAATTTGGGAACGTTTTCACGCTGAATCTGTTGTGGAAGATAAACCTGTATCTTCCGCGTAAATAACGAATGTTTAATCTGAACTGATGTTATTAATGACTTCGTTGTAAATATTCAAAAAGAAATGTCATTGTATATTTCAATGGGAAATATCTGCGGTCACTGTTTGAAATTCTGAAAAAATGGTTGCTGTTTTGAACAGTTTTCTGATGACACTTCAAGTAGGTAGCCAATGGCTGGAGTGCTGTTCCCCTAATTCCATAAAATTCAAGCACGGTTAGTAAAGTAGCATGGTTTATGCGATCAGAAGTCTTTAAAAAATGAACAAAAGTTCAAAGAGTTAGCAGTTTCTATTCATACGAATTTAAGATTAATTTCGGGTATTAACGCAAGTTCGGTACACATTCCTTTTCGAAAACCATACTGTGATGGACTGAAAATAAAGAGATGAAAACAAAAATTAGTTATTCGGCTTTGTATAATTTTTTCAAGGCAGTTGGAAAACACCGGTAATATAGAAATCGGTCTAAGTTTGTTTGCTTGTTATTATCCTCACACTTAAAATAATTCACTATAACTTTTGCTATTTGCGTTTTTTACGGAAAATTACCCTTTGATGCTATAGTATCCATACAGCAGCTGCGTTAGAACATCGAAAAAAATATTTTGCAGGCTGTATTTTACTGTTATTTATTTCACTGCACTTGAAATCTTCACTCGAAAAAAAATGGGCTGGCTATCTCAACGTCATTCGCGAGATTAAAGAGGCACTAGACTCCGATTTATTTTTTAGATAGCAGGAGATAACAGAAAAATGGATGCTACAGTCAAGGTTCACAAAAGTTATTAAAATAGTCTGCCTATTCTTTTTAGCTGAGCACTATGCCGTTTATATTAAGCTCATTTAAACTGCCACGAGTTTCTTTTCGATTCAGAACTTTATTATTTATTCGGCAATGCTATCAGTCCTTACCACGGGGACCGTGATGGGGGTGAGCAACAAAATTTAACATAAATAGACGCGCAGAACATGGTGTACAATATAACATTAGTAGCGCACTGTACGGTTATATATCAAGCACAAAGATAACACAGTCACGAAAAAGAAATACAGAAAGCACTGTGAGCAACAGATTTAAAACATGAATTTTACAAGAACTTTTCCAGACATCTCATAATTTCAGAAACAGTGTTGGCTGCAACAATGCATTCGGGCAGCGCATTCTACTCCTTTATCGTTCGGAG